AAATTCTGAAGCATTCATTAAAAGCCAGGTGGATTTTTAATTCTCGTGTAAAGATATCAACATTTTCAGCTCCTCTCAGAGCCTCCTGTTCCAGCAACTTGGAGCATGATGGCTGAAAGCATCATCACTTTTAGATTCTGCTTTGTGGAACAACTAAAAGAGAGGAACAGAGGATCTGAGAGGCCCATTCCTGGTTTAAAAACAAGCATTTCTCATGAGTGGTCTGTGTGAGTCTATGTGGTGCCTTTTAACGGAATTGAGTAATTTTTTGCAGTATTTTCATGTTCGTGAGGAGCTGTTCCGAAGAGAAAGGTCTGGGCCATGTTCAGGGTTTATTACCTGAGCTGATCATTCATTATTAAAGCAGCCTGCAGTGCCTCCTAGAGCCGACACTGGTGGGTGGAAAAAGCAAAGAGCTTGGCAGGGCCTTTGAGTCCTCAGTTATGCAACTGGGTGTGGGTGATATTATTAATTTGTTCTCATGATGAGCTGAGCCCCTGTGTTTGGTTCCAACAAGCAAACAGGCCACAGCATCCTGCACCCAGAACACTGTCTGAGTGTCTTTCTCCACTTTCAGGGTCTCAGCTCACCCTCACCTTCAGGTCAAGGGTACGTACGGTACGTTAGGTTCAGAGGCCTGAGGTGTAATTTTAAACTGCAAAGAGCAAACTTCAGCATTTCTCCTCAAATGGCTGCTGCCTTACCGCGAAGTTTGGTTCACTTTTCACCCTAAATCGTGACTGACAGGCTGAAGAACAGGATGTATAATATTTGCTCATGGAACCTGGCTCTTGAATAAATAAATCTGTCAGACTTGGATTGTGGAGCTCACAAAATGTCAACAATTAGCTATTTACATGTGAAAAGAGACGTGAATCAAACACCAAAATGCCCAAAAAACATGTCTTATACAGAGAAATGATTAATAATCATATGTATCATTAAAGGTTTCCGGAAGGAACTGGTCTATGGAGGACCACAGTGTCCAAGCTTTGGTCTTTATTTTGGGATTATTTAATCTATTTGTAAAAAATATTTCATTCTTTCCTGTTCTTAGTGTGATTATAAATGAACTGAATCCTTATGATCACTAATGATGTTTCCCCACAATGTATTAACACTTTAGATAGAAAGTAGAACTGTGTGTGAATAAGATGAAAATGTTATGAGAAATTAATAAGATCAATGCAAAAAATCAATAATAATCGACTTGATCGATTCACGGCTTGGTATTCTTTTTTTCTGTTGCGTACCACAAAAGTGATCCACAAATTACTATTATTACTATTAGTATTCTTCTTCTTCTGACTTACCTGTCACTATATTTATTTATATTATCTATTACACATCTGCTGTATATATATTTATTCATACACTACAGTATTTATTCATCTGCTGCTACTGATCCTGTACATATATTCTTCATTCACTTTAACTGTACATAATTTATGTCTGTATCAATTTAATCATTCAGTATTTTTCAGCGTTCCTACAATCAGTTTTCACAGCTGTTATCCTTTTCACTATAACTTTATTACTATTGTACACTGCACTGATTTTTAACTGCCAGTGTACATTACAATTATGTCACTGTTGTTTTCTTTTTTCTTTTGACCTGCTGTCTTTGTGCCTTAGAAATAAAGTTGTTTTGAATTCTTATTATTTCTGGTATTATTGGTGCTTTTGTTATTATATTATTATCATTATTATTATCATTACATGCAGATAGGGTTCCGATTATGGTCATGTATAGATAATCCGCACAGGCCTTTTTTTGTAATTCTCTAGAGGCGATGCGGCTTCCTTCGAGTCAACACTCAGGGCAGGAGCTGCACCTCCAAGGCGGCTTCCCCGACGTCATCGCTGTGCGACAGGCCTCAGTGTGAGTACGGTACAGTCCTGCGTACTCCAGCTGGAAATGGGTGAGTCTTCCCCTGAGCCCCGCGGCCACAGACTCTGTTAATGTGCGGACTTGAGTGACGCGGTTGAAAACACTACTTGCGCACTTCTGCCGTGCAGCCGCAGTGTTTGCGTCTTGTTTTGAGCGGCGGGAATTGTTAGATTTGAAAGCTAGCAGGCTAATGTTAGCGAGCGGAGTCAGGCCCCAGCGAAGAGGAGTTCACTGCTGTTTCCAACAGCGACGCTTCTTCCACCGCTGAACAGGCAGATACAAGTGGTGTCACACCCACCAGCGACCACACCGACGACCCCCCCACACACACACACACAACCGACCCGCTGTTTTAGAAGCCAGGGCTGGTTTATAGTAGCACCGTGAACGTTAGCATCTCCTGCAGACGGTAGCTAAAGTGCGGTAAAGACATGACTTCCAGGAGGACGGGCTATGCTGCTAGCATGGACTCCTCTCCATCAAACAGCGGCTCCATCCACACTGGGAATCGCAAACAAAGTATAATCAACATCCCCGACAGGACCGACTCCTGCTATGATCGCAAAGCCGATAAGGCTGCGTACGGGGCTGTGCAGGGCAACATGACTGTGACGTCGCTAAAGTCCCGTCTGGCCCCGACCATTCAGACTGCCATGTCCGCTGCAGTGGACACCCTGCTGGGCGAGGTGGTGCTTGTTCTCAACGAGACCCAACAGGAGCTGCTGCACAAGGAGCAGGAGAACGAGAGACTGAAGGTGCGACTGGAGGTGTCGGAGAGGGAGCTGAAGACGCTGCAGGAGTGTCTGAGCAGCGCCCAGAAGCTCATAGATCAGCTGCAGATCTCTTACGCGGGGCCCCAGTCTATCAGTCAGTCCGTTTTCGCCCCTTCTCTGTCTTCCATGGCTTCCCTGGCCTCAGGTTTGGACCGGGACCACCAGAACCCCCGAAATGTGAACGGAGCCGGTGTCGACCTCGGTCTCGGTGGCTCTGTGGATGAATCGCTTCACGGGTTTGAGCCCAGAGATGACTACAAAATGTGCCAGCTATCAATCCAACCAGATGGCTCTGTGACCAACCACGCGCTGGACTCCTTCACATCCACTGCATCTCATATGTGCTCCGATTCCAGCAGGCCAGGTAAATACACAATGTGTGCTGCTGTACTGTGGATTTTCCTCTGCAGAAGCCCGAAAAAATACTTACTGTAATTTGACGTAATTATTAAAGTTTTTTAGTTAAGTGATACTTCTACATAATCATCTCTGTATGTTTTGATATGTCTGTAGACCAGTCTCAGGGACCAGGTGGAGCATCCAGGTTTGAGATTAAAGAGGAGCAGGGTCCAGCTTCAGGCCCCGGTCAGCCAAGCAGGAAGGAGTCTGGTTTGCGTAATGACGAGGATGGAGAACGATCATCTCACAACATCGGCGACCTCGGCTACGTTCAAGTTGGGGAGGGTGGTTCTCAGCGCTCATTTACTCACCCGCTGCGGCACCAGAGGCCTGTGCGAGAATGTAGCAATGCCTTGCAACAGGGCGGACTGGATGGACAGAAAACTCTGGTGAGGACTCCTGGGAGAGGAGACAGTGTTTCACCTGGCAGAGCAGATGACTCGGCAGGACCTTCAGCCTCGGACACAGTAGTGGATCCCTCTGGAGATCGGCCTCACCACTGCCTGGAGTGTGGAAAGACGTTCCGCTTGATCTCCAGCCTGAAGAAGCACATCCGCATCCACACAGGAGAGAAGCCTTACCCGTGTGGAGTCTGTGGCCGCCGCTTCCGCGAGTCAGGCGCTCTCAAAACTCACCTGCGCATACACACGGGTGAGAAGCCATACTCTTGCTCTGAGTGTGGGAACTGTTTCCGCCACTTGGACGGTTTGCGAAAACACAGACGCACGCACACCGGAGAGAAACCCTACGTGTGTGCTATCTGTGGGAAGCGCCTGAGCCGTCTGCAGCATCTCAAGCACCACCAGCTCATCCACACCGGAGAGAGGCCGTGCTGCTGCCCCTTCTGCAACCGCAGCTTCAAGGAGCCCGCTGCGCTGCGGAAACACATCCGCACGCACCGGGAGGAAGGCGGCCACATGGGAATTACTGCCAGTGATGACACAGACCCGGACGCCATAGATGACATAAACAACCTCCATCCAGCTGCTCCGTCCCCTCAGATGAGGTTCGGAGAGTGGGGAGCCGAGGAGGATGACAGCTCAGTTGCGGACTGTGTGTAGTGGATAATTTGAGGATTAACTGTCGGTTGCTAATCTTATAAAATGTGGAACAAGGTGTTTGGGCAGTTTGATATAATGGATAAGACCATCTCTGTTCCATGCTGTTAGAGTGAAGACATATAACCTTAGACTTTGAGTTTTGTTTATATCTGACATCATGTTTTCATCATCGTCAGCAGCATCATTGTTTCTCTGACTTTCATCAGGCAGCAGCAGAAGTAGCATACAGGTTTTAATTGGTAGAAGTGGATGAGATCTGCTTTCTCACTTTGAAAATATAAGAACGCTTAATCTTCAGAGTCTCTGCTGATGCTGCTTAAGATCGTCCCTCGATGTTAGTCAGGATAAACTGTTGGGATTTTAGTCATGAGTTTTTAAAGCTTTAGGTAGTACAGAGCTGCTCTAATACAGTAGGCAGGAATAGATGCATAGTGCAGCTTCATGCTTCATGTGCAGGATAAACCATGCATTTTCTGGACTAAACCAAAGCATACAGTGTTATGGTTTAATCCATTGATGTGATAATTGTGTGGGTCCATACTGTGGTGCTTTATGAAACAGAAACTGACCAACATCATCATGTGTTGATCATTCCAAATCATTTCCAGTTTACTCAGCCAGAGAAGCAAATGTTTCACTTTCATCCTTTAAGACCACGAAAAACAGACATCTCAACTATTGCAATATTAATAAAAAATGCCATATGGTAACTGGCTCCTATCATGATAAATGGACAATATACTGATGTCTCCCAGCTCTACCTCACTCCTCATTCTCCACAATGATAAAAATACCACAAAAACACAAAATTCCCAGTTGATGTAAGTGGTTAGATTTGACTACATGTATAGCTCTTCCTCTTCAGCCCTGCTCTGCCCCATCTCATCTCTGCTTTTCACTCTGCAGAGCCCTCATCAGTTACACAATCCTAATGCTGAAGTGATCTGTGTCAAGTATATCTCAAGTTTGAAGACGCTGTATCAGTCCAGACATTATATGTGTTATTTCTTTGTCAACCAAACATGCAGAGTTATTTTAAAGAGTGAGACAACACCATCATTCACAACATGGACCATTTCTTAGCATTCCTTCTTTTTAGAAATTCAAGCTGCTACTCTGTCTAGAAGACCTCTTCACCTCTGTATTTATAATTATTGTTGCAAGCCAGTTACTAGCGGACAAACTTTGGTGCTTGCATGTGCATATTTGTTTCTCCGCTGGTGATGATGCCTCCTGGGCGTTTCTGTAAATAAGAATATAGTTTTAGGCATTTTATCCAGTTTAGTAAGGGGTTGACGTTTGTGGAAAAAGTGGATGTGCAACAATGACCTTTTTTCTTTAATGTAACGTGCTTTTTAACCCATCAGTATTCTAACGCAATGTAAATATATAAATCTTTTTAAATATCTCTCTGATGTTTCTCCTGATGTTCTGATCCAATGCAACGAAGGCATCAAGTTGAACAACAGATGAATCCTCTCAGCCCTTCGAGCTATTCTCTAGGTCTCTTGTGTCATTTGCCATGTATACTACTCTAATGATCTCTATGTACATCTGCAAGTGTAAGTCATTTTACAAGGCACTCAAAATGTAAAATATATGTCACAAGAATACGATTTGCGAATTAACACGGTCCCGGTTTATCATAATTATTGTTTTTAGTGTTACATACATGGGGGCTGTGCATGTAGGTTTAAATTGAAATGGCATTCTTCCTTAACAGATCATTTAATGTTAAATGAATTAAATTTTTTAGCCAATGTGTTCAAAATATATTCCCACAATTCACATCCATCCTGTTATCTACTGTAAATGTGACTATATTAAAGGGCCTTGTTTGTTATCTCGTCTCTCTGTTGCCACATTACCCGACTACATTTACTGTCAAACTTTCTGAGATGAAATGTAAAGTAAAACCATAGTAAATTCATCCGACATTGTGGCACTTCAGTCCAAGACAAAGCCGCGAGTAAATCCTAACTTTAGATCCTTCTCGTCTGTTAATACCAGCGTCATTACTTAACTTTCAGTCAGTGCATTTCATTGCATCGTGGGAAGAAAACCACATTAACCCTGGAGGAGAGTTTCCACGGCATCTGAAACGTTGCCAAACAGCCTGCGTGTGCGTGGTGCGGACACGCCCAAAGACAGATCCTAAATAACACCTTAGAGCTTTCTCAGTGCTGAGTAATGGCAGCTGTTTGCATATACACAAACTGCTATTTGAGGCAGCTTTTGGTGTGATTACTGAAGCTTAACAGACTGAAAAACACGTCAGCGTACGGTGGCATTCCATCCATGATACAAACTTCCAAACACGATTTTTAAATGTGTTTTTGCATACAAGTCCATAGTTCTGTGCTTTTGTTCAACATCTCACGACCCCTCAGATTCATCGTGTGCATGTGACCCCCATGTATGAAGACAGTGTTGTTTGGTGGAAGTAGCTTGCTTTTAACGACTATAACTGACCAAACAATATAACATGTTATCACCATATGACCACGAATGTGTCTACGTTACTTTAAGATTTGAGACGTGGTTGTTATTAATTCCACCAAGGAGGTTGTGTTTTCACCCAGGTCCATTCCTCTGTTGGTTGGTTTGTGTGTTTGTAAGATTACACAGAACTACCTGACGGATTTCCATGAGTCAGTGGAAGGATGTGGTGTAGGTCAGGGAAGAACCCTATAAACTTGTGGTGCGTATCTGGATCAGAAGGCAGATCCAGGATTTGTTTTTCACTTTTCTTTAACATTGTAAGATGTTTTTCAACATTTTCCTAGAAAATAATTCATGGATCTTGATGAAATAAATCAGGCACATTTTGGGAACTAATATTTACGTGTGTGTGTTATTTGATGTAGCTTGATTGAATTGAATGGACCTGTTAGGCCGTAGCGGAGGTATATCCTCAAAGTTTTTGTTGCTGTAGAAATATAACACGTGACTATAATGTGATAAACCACGTACACTAAGGCCCAGTGGATGTTCGGCCTCGACTTTGTGGACCTAAATATAACAAGCCCACAAACAGAGACTTGACTCCCTGCTCTGGAGCCGAGCTGAGGTAACCAGAGACTCACATCGAGACATACAAACTTGTTTCGACAATACAGACCACAAATGCAAGTTAAGACATCAAGTTGAAACAAGCGATGCGGAGGGCATTGAAACACATTTCCCCTGAACCCAGCAGCGGAAGTTCACACAGGCCAGAGCCAGTGACTCGTGAAAAGAAAATGTTGACAAGAGAAAAGATCATTTGAAAAAAAAAGAAAAAGCTTCTTAAGTGATGTTTGATAAGGAGGAATAAGTATATCTTAATCCCAGCTCAATGCTGAACTACTTAACTTAAACTGCAGAAGCCAAAGGTTTTTATTCACACACTTATTATTGACTTGTACCTTTCAGTCCTCAGTGTCTCGACTTCAGATGGCGCAGGATTTCTGCCGCTTGTATTTTAACCTACACCAAGGGTATGGGCCTTGATCTCTCCTATTCTTACCTCTTCTCGGCTGCCAGTTAAATTTAGGAATGATTTTAAGATTCTTTTTATAACTTTTAAAGCTCAGCACGGCCTGGCCCCCAGTTATATTACAGAGCTACTAACTCCAGGCTGTAACCTAAGATCTTCCAATCAAGGGGTTCCTTACTGAAACCTGGTAACCAAGGGGGACCAAGCCCAAGGCTCTGGGATTCGTGCCTGAGGAGTTTGGACTTTTTAGCACTTTACCTGTTTTTGAATCAAAATTGATTAAAACATATTTAGAAGTCTTTTAATGTAAGATTTTGAATAGTTTTCACATATGTTGCTTGTTTTTGATATTATGTCACTTTATTCCTATATATTTTATAAAGCATTTTGTAACTTTAGATAAGTGCTATAGAATTCGTTATTATTATTATTACTAGTAGTAGTAGTAGTAGTTGTATTGGTGGTAGTAGAAGTCGCACTATCAGTAGTAATAGTGTTAGTGGCAGCAGTAGTTGCAGTAACATATGACATCTTCTGCATTGACATCTTTACTTTCATTTTTTCCTTTTTCTTTTTTCACTTTTTATCATGTAAGATTCTTAATGTCAGTGTTTATTAGTAAAAAGTAGTAGTGTACTGATACTTTTACTTTAAAGGCTCCAATTACTTCCACTCAGAGTTCCTTCTCTCTGTTCACAGCTGTTTTTATCTCTATCGTTCAATAGCCTGTTTATTTTTGTTTGCCGTCATTGTCTGCTCCAACGTCTAATGTTAAGGTTTCAGTTTTCAGACAGGAAGTAATTATGTTGTATTAAAAATACTCAGGGATGTTTTATGAGTGACCTGCCATGTATTTGCATTGTGTGTGTGTCTTGGCAGCCGCTGACGCAATGATGGTGCGCAGCAGCAGAGGCCGAGAGAAATGTGAGAGCGGCCTGTGAACTCTCCGTAGGCCCATGCAGTTATTTCCTCAGCGACTGAAAGTAAACACTCTCAGGTTTTTGAGAGGAAGTGACTCAACTCTCTTTGTCTCTTTCTCACTTTCACCCCGCTCGCCCATGTGACCCCAAACACTGGCAGGCTCACGAGATCCCGACACTCCTGCAACTTTGTGTTTTTTATTATCGTTCACTTTTTCCCAGAGAGTCTGAGGTCAGTGTGTCACAGGAATGAAATGAGGTTTTGCGGCAGAGGCCTTCTTCTCTCTGGACTAGCTGAGCTGCAGTGTGTTTCCTTCAGACTGGACAGAAGCAGGGTTTGATGGTTTTTTGGTTGCATGTGCAAAGGTACAAAACTGTGTCTTGTTGCAGTTTTTGGAAAAAGTACAACAGCCAAAACTGCTGGCACAACTACAGTGGCACTCAATAGAGCACAGACCTCCGCCAAGGCCCAACAGTCCCAGTAAATTCAATCAAGCTGCATCAAATTACACACACTCATAGATAGCAGTTCTCTAAATGTGCCTGTTTTTTAAATCAAGATCTCAAATCTTGCTCACAAACAACAAACCAACAAACAACCAGACAGGCGGGTAAAACCATATCCATGTTGTGAGAAAGTAATTCATTCATGTGCTGTATTTGTAACAGTCTGTAAGTTCTTGTAGTTGTCTTTCAATTTATATTTTTTTAATTATCTTTTACCATATTTCTGTCTGAGTTTTTTTATTTGTACTGTTCAAGCTATTCAATTTATGTTGTGATTACAACTTCTCTCCAAAATAAGTGTACAACTGTGGAGTTTAAACTTTTTGTGATGGTGGACGTTAGTGTGAAATATATGACAGATAAATGTCTGATGTGTTATTGATGGATGGATGGATAGACAGATAGAAAGATAGATAGATGATGGACGGACCACAAACTGCAAAAGATGCAAAAAAATACAAAATACTGTATACAAATAAAAAATACACAACACAGATTTAATCCCTGAGGCAGTTAAATAAGAAAAATACTAGGCAATATTGCTGGTCTTATGTCCAGGGTGCACAGTGTAATGTATAATTATCAAGCTGCTGAGAAATATGATGAGTTGAAAAGTCTGATGGCAGTCGGCAGGAACAACCTCCTGAATGAATGAGTCTGTGGCTGAAGTTGTCAGACTTAGACTATATTCAACTATCATGAGACACAAAAACCTATGACGTCCATCTTGTCACATCCTCACAACCTGAGTTCCTGCTGATAGTGGCCTCAGACTGACCCTGATGGTTCCTATAATATCACAGATGTCTAACAATATGTTTATGGACATGATGTCTGGAGGTTGAGAATAGTTAATATTTCCCCTCCTCCCAATCTCTCATCAGACACAAAGGTGTGTACAGCACTGCCTAATATGTTATATATATATTTTATTTTCAGAGTGACACACACAGCTGTGTGTGTGAGAGAGTGTGGGGGCAGCAGATTTGGGGAGGGGGATGCTGCGAGAAATAACCAACAAGGAAACCACTTGAAGCTTCGCTCCTGCACCGCCTGGCTGGCCTGCTGCCAGCTTTCTCCAGAGTGGGTTGGCTCACTCCCTTCTCCTTCTCCTCCCTTCTCCTCCCTTCCCTCTCTCTCGAACCCACATACGCACTCTGTCCGCAACTCTCTCCAGAGGAACAAGGCAAGAGAAAGAAAGAAGGAAGAACCACAAAACTTTTCAAACAACAAGCAGGGAGGGCAAAGAGAAAACTCCCCGAAGATGCCAAGCGCGTCGCTTTTACGCACGGATCATTCGGGTACGCGAGGCTTTTAAGGAGAGAAAACAGGAGGGAGGACGCGCTCTTTTTTTCCTCCTCCGCCGTATGAGACGTCAAAAATCTGCCTCGGGTTTATATACAAGTAAAGCAGGCGCTGTGGAGCTGGAACCGTGGATGTCCCTGGGTCTGTGTGGAGGGCAGTGAAGGATGCCAGGATGCCCTCTCTGATCCCCCATCTGCTCGTCATCTGGCTGAGCGTGCAGAGGCTGGCGTGGTGCACGGAGCGCTCCTCCACACGGGAGCGCTTCAAGGTGGTCATCGCTCCCCTCATCTGCAAGCGGATCTGCCTGAAGGGCCAGTGTCAGGATACCTGCGAGCAGGGCAACAACACCACGCTGATCGCCGAGAACGGCCAGGCCTCCGACACGCTCATCGGACAGGGCTTCAGGGTCGGTGAGTGGACGGGCCCCGATGGAGGCTGGAACAATGCTGTTTATTTATGAGGGGGTTCATATGTAGGCCGCTGAGATTAACTAAGAGCCCTGACCCCTGGTTCACAGCCCCCTGCACAGAGGTGTGGGGGGGAGGTGGTGCCTCATAAAGGGACTTTTTGAGGAGTTATCAAAAAGTTAGATATCAAGATAAACTGAAAATCCTCACACAACTACCCACTGTGCTGTAAATCTAACTGTTTATCACATTGCACTGGATATACATTCACTCTTATCTGCTTTCCAGACATTCATCTGGGAGATTAACTTCTTTTAAAAGTTATTTAGTCTGAAATAAATGGCCAGAAAAGCTGAAAGCGGGACTGAAGGATATATTTGCTCACTGATAATGTTCTTACCTAATAGTGTGGTTGGGGGGTGATATTACTACATTGCCTTTGGCTTGTTTACAAGTAAAAGTCCTTCATTTATATTCCGACTTCAGTGCAAATACAGCAGTATATGGCTGGGCGATATGTCAAGATAAACATTTCCATATAAGTGGATATCGATAATAATCACGTCACATTCATATTTATTTAGGTTTAAAGATTGCTCCTGAGTGAAGGTTGTGGTTCTAAACGATTCTTAATGAGTATGAATTGATGAGATATTACAGATCTGATATTACAGATACAAGCTTTTTGTTCTATTGCTGTTGATGAAAATGGTATTCCAACAATGATTGATATTGTTTTTGTAGAAGTAGCCTTTTTACTAGAAAACTCACTTTTGAACGTTTGGCATCTTTCAGGGTTAATTTGAAACTTACATTTTTAACAGTGCAGCACATTTCACATTCACATTGTTGTGTTTCTTACCTTCAAAACTCGAACAGCAAAGTAACTAGTAGTACAAATGTAGTACATGTTTAATATCTGTAGTGGAATGGAGTAATGTACAATGGACACTGTCAAGAAGAGTACACTGTCCAATACAATGTCCTTTGTAACTGTTCCACCTTTTTGACCTCCTGTAGTAGATTTTCACAAGAAAAACGCTGATGAATATCTCATCAATATCTTTATTTCCTTAAAATCTCAGTCCATATTCTTCATATCTTACATTAAAGATTCAGTGTAGAATTTTGTGATATCTAGTGTTGAAATTTCATGTTGCAGCTGACCACCCCTCACCTCACCCTCTCCTTCCAAACATGAAAAAGAACCTGTGGCAGCTTCAGTTGTCATTAAAACTCCAAAGGTGTTTAGTTTGTTCAGTCTGGACAACTGTAAAAAACATGGCGGCCTCCGTAGAGAGGACCCCCTCGATGTAAATATAAAGTATTTAAATATAAAGGGCATTTTCTGGGGTAAAGAAAACTACAATTCATATAATTTAGATGAAACGAACTAGTGAAAACATCATGAGGATTATTCTCCATTAAATATCTGCCAATAGTTCCCTTTCACCTAAATCTTATACACTGGACCTTTAAAGTAACACAAGCTGGTAACCACCATGAATTCATGATTTATGTGAAGTGGGTATAAACTCGGCTTTGTAAATAAATAGGAGGTTAATATGAGGTGAGGAGGGTTTACCTCTCCTCGCATTGCTGGAAAATGTTCCCATATTACACTTTAATTAGTGAGACATGGCTCATTACATCGTATATAAATGTACTCTTAAGATCTATACTTTGCCCCTCGACTCCAGCGTCTGGTTGGCATGAGTGGAGCCTTTACGTGCTGCATCAGATCAGCTGTGGTGAGACATGGAGCCTCGCAGTCTATACGTCAGCCTCTGGCCCGGAACCAACTCCCACTGCTCCGCTATTCCTCCCACCACTGTTGAGACAGTCAACAGGAGCAGAGAGGTTCGGCACGAGATGAAGTGAGCTCACTGACGTCTCTGGGGAGGACAGGGGTGTTGTGCCATAAAAGATAGTCCAAGTCATTGCTGTCTTTGTGTCAGCAGAGGCTAACTTATCAATCGCTTTGTTAACTCAGACAAGGAGGTTGTGTTTTCAACCCCGTCAGTTTGTTTCTTTGTTGGCTTGTCAGCAGGATCACGCAAAAAACTACTGAACGGATTCCCACGAAACTTGGTGGAAGGAATGGGACATCAGCCAATAAAGAACCGATTGCGTGGATTTGAGAATTCTTTATCAATATCATTCAGTGTTTTTTGACATTTCCTTCAATGAGGGAACAATTTATTGATCTTGAATCTAGCGGATTTAAATGGGTTAGGCTTTCTTTGAGCTGCTGCACAGTAACAAACGCTGGTGAGGATCCGTACAAAGGGGAGGAATCAGGAATTTTTTATCACTTTCTTGAACATTGTGTTGAAGTAACTTGGCAGAGGCATGTGTGCTCTACTGAGTGTTATTCTAGTTTGTCTCTGTTTCACCAAAGGTTGATAACAACCCTGTATTCATCATGAATACATTAAGTAGCACTGTGGTCTACAATAATAAATCATACATGATAACAGCACTTCAGGCACGTGATGTAACACCGTCATATATCTCTAGACACGTCATCCTAACTTTCTCTTGGAGGATAAGAAATGTCTGCACACCAGTTGAGCCTCAGACAAACTCTGTAATGACCTAACCTTTATTACCTCTTTGCGGATATTTCTCCTCTATTGTTTTCACTTCTGTCCAGCACCTCAAGTTTGTGCTTTCGTATACTTTTGGTTCTATCTTTTTTCACCGCTATAATCCTAATCTTAATTGTAATCTTTTCCAGAGTTGAGCAGCTCCTCTGGATGACACATGTTTCTATGTTAGAATTTTAAAGGAGATGGTTAGATGTAGTACTACTGGATGAAAATGACTCTCAAGCAGTGCTGTGGGTTCATCTGTGGCTGTAGAAATCCAGGACGTCAGTAAAAACAAATAATACAATAATATAATGGAAATATTTCAACACAGTACAAAGCAAGACAAAACAAATGAATGAAATCAAATAAAAATATTACAAACAAACCAGTTAATAATCATACATTAAAATCTTTCCTTTAAAAGATATGCATACAAATCATATGCATGTTACAGACTCTAAAGCTGCGGTGCGTCTTACTGTCACAGACAGAGGAGCTGTAGTTGGGGATACAGATGTAGCCTCTCCAGCTGTTTTCTCTGGTGTGCCCGTGTGGAAGTAAGCGGGCTGGATGGCAGCGGTCTTCCTCCTCGATACTGCGCAGAGTCAGAGAGTTGCTTTGGGCACCAGGCCTCCCTCTTCTCCCTCAGCTTCCTTGTGCTGCGTTGCATTTTGGGACTTCTGTGGCAAATAATCCCAGAAAGACATTTCAAATTCCAGGAATACCTCACGGTCCTGCACATTCGGTCTGGAAAGTGAAACTGTTCTGCAGTCACCTGTCTCCTGGATCTCACAGTCAAAGCGTCTGAAAACAGATCCCTCCTGAGTTGTACGAGGGTTTGACTTCTGCTTAAAGAGATATGTGATGTTCAGTGTCAGAGCTGGAATGCGGTGCGGACAAGTGGAAATGTCTCTCTCCCGTGTTAAAACGGCCATGGCTGTAGCAGCAACAATATGAAGACCTTTCCATATTTGAGTGATGACGTCAGAACAGAAAGGCAGAGCAAAACCCGGCCGAACCCAAACCTTTCCTCAAAAGAGAAAGTAGTTCTGAGAATTTGTGGAAGTGCAGAAATACTTTTCAGTGCCTTCGTGTGTTTCGGTCATGGTTTTGGTATGCACAGAGTAGAGAAGTTCTCTTGAATTTGGCTTGTGTTTGGTGGACAAGCCAAGAAACAGTCAGGTTTTAGTTGTGATGGATCTGGGATTTCTTCCAGCAGATGAAGAATGTTTTTATGTTCATAACTATGAAAATATTAGCAATACTAACTAACACAGGCAAAATTGCAGTCGCAGTAATAATATTTTAAATCATATAGGAATGTTTACCGGATTATGAATTGAGTACCAAAAGAAAATCCTTGAAATGACTTGATACCCCAGAGTATAACAGCTGGACAACAAACTGGTGCCAGTGTTGGCAGGACTTCATGACTCCAAGGAGATGTTTTGACATTGTTTATTTTTTCTGACCAGCTGTAAAACCAGCAGCATTCCATTTACAGAGATATGAAATGGAGAAAAGGAGGCAAATCACCGATAACACCAGCAAATCTTTGACAGCTGTAGCCATGTGATGGTCCATGACTTAGATGCAAGGTGAACTATATTTGGTGCCCAGAAGATACATTTGTATGAAGTTGCTGATCACTGGTCTGTGGTTCTGAGTGAAATATCGCCACATCTATTGGATGAATTGAGATGAAATGTGGTACAGACATTTATTTCCTTTATTTCCAAGATACTGTATTTGATAAAAATGGCAGCATGGAAGTGATGAGAGGGATAAAAAACTTTTTTTTCCCAAAGTTTTATTGCCCCTTTTTTTTAAATGTGCACCATTCGGTTATGTTAAAGTGTGATACCCAAGCATTGGGTCATCACTGAAGCGCAATGAATCCTGGGATAGGTTGGATGGTAGGATCCACCCTTTGGATGCTGCATCACAAGGAGCCTTCGAAACAGTCTAGTCATGCCGCTGTGACGCAATCCATCTTCAAATGCAGCCTCTGAAGAATTTGTGTCTCCGAATTGAGACACAGCTATTTGCGTAGTTATAATCATATCGATTGAAGCTTTAGACATTTGCCCTGTGAACTGCTGTCAGATACAGTAGTGTATTTGTTTGCTTACTGGCATAATCTTTGTTTTAAAAGAGAAATTCATTAAATTAAAAAAACATAAATCATCTCATTTCAACTAAGTCATAAATGTTAATTACGACCTGTCTGATCTGAGCAGCGTGTGATTATGCTGTCGCAGCCTGAGACAGAAGGACAGACGACCACCCAGATGTTTGGCAGAGCAGATCCTCACAGTCTGTCGTGTACTCGAGGACAAATCACCTGAACGAACACGCAGCTTTGTACTTTTTAACCTGTGTGGGGGCCGAGCTTCCACTCAGCTGTAA